CACAGGAGCCCCAACCAGTGCCGGGGGTCGAGTCTGCAACCGAGATACATGCCCTTGACCAGAATTGAACTGGGACCCTTTGGTTTGCAGGCCAACGCTCTATCTACAAGTCAAACCGGCTAGGGCAGACCAGTCTTTTTTTTAAAAAAATTTCTGTTTTCTCCTAGAAATCAGAAGAATCCATATCCACTGCAGATTAGGATGGGTGTAAGATTGGAGGAAGTGTAGTAAGATAAATTCTGGTAGCAGTCAAATGTTTAGATGTTAAAATACTCAGTTCCACCTTTCAATTCTACCTAGACAAACCCTTAATTAGGCCTTTCCTGGTTCCCAGCCTCTATAACTATTTTCTCTCCATAGTTCCTGCCATTTAACTTTGCCTTAGGGGCTCAGCATCATTTAACTCTAAAAAGAAATCTTAAATGTAGGAGGAGGAACCTAAAGAACTTTAGTTCAACACTCTGAAACTTAGCATCAACCTCTACCCTGACCTAAAGTCTTCTTTTTTGCAGTTAAGGTATTGTCTTGTCCCATATACCCACTTCCTGCATTTTGTACCCATTGGGATAACTAAGACTTGCTTTGTTGAAATATACCCAGCCCATCTACCCCTGGATGCTTTGTTACTCACACTTTTAATTTAATTAAAGACTGGAATCCCTCAAACCTCTACATGCTAGATTTTATAGTGTCACCACTTAGCTGTATAGCACTCCAATTATCCTTTGCTCCTATATTTCCCATTCCAGTGTACGACATACCTATTAATGCATTCTTTCACCTCATGTTGGATCCACTCCCATCCAAAGGCCTACTCTTTGCTAGGTTTCATACTTTCTGGAAACCCTATGGTGCCTTGGTCTGGAGTTTCTTGTGTCAACTATAACCAAATCTGTGCCATATTCCTATCTCAAGCTCGTGTCTTGTAGCAAATTGTAAATATATGATCAATATTGTTTTTCCAGTTTCTGATAGATTCATGTCACATTTTGTATATTTTCAAGTCTGTAGCTATTTGTACCACGAATACTTTTTGGCCACTACATGCTTATTAAATATATTTTTCATAAATTCCAAAATAATATTTTGGTTATGACACTAAATTTGAATGTGACTAATTGTACAAATTGTGCAAACTGAGCTGTGCTAATTTACATATTTTTCCAAATAGCAATTTACTAATATTAACCTATTTTTTAAATATATTTTTTATTGATTAAGATATTACATATGTGTCCTTGTCCCCACGTTACCCTCTACCTCCCCCCCTCATGCCCTCACCCCCCCGTTGTCCGTGTCCATTGGTTAGGCCTATATGCTTGCATGTAAGTCCTTTGGTTGATCTTTCCCCCTTACCCCCACCCTCCCCTACCTTCCCTCCAAGTCCCGACAGTCCAATCAATGCCTCTCCATCTCTGGATCAGTACTTGTTCATCAGTTTATGTTGTTCATTATATTCCACAAATGAGTGAGATCATGTGGTATTTATCCGCTCTCCAGTTCCATCCATGCTGTGGCAAATGGTAAGAGTTCCTTTTTCTTCTTCCTCTTTTTAAAGAATACCTTTCAGCATTTCATATAATGCTGGTTTGGTGGTGATGAACTCCTTTAGCTTCTTCTTATCCGTGAAGCTCTTTATCTGACCTTCTATTCTGAATGATAGCTTTGCTGGATAAAGTAATCTTGGTTGCAGGTTCTTGCTATTCATCACTTTGAATATTTCTTGCCAGTCTCTTCTGGCCTGCATGGTTTCTGTTGAGAAATCAGCTGACAGTCGTATGGGTACTCCCTTGTAGGTAACTGACTGTCTTTCTCTTGCTGCTTTTAAGATTCTCTCTTTGTCTTTTGCTCTTGGCATTTTAATTATGATGTGTCTTGGTGTGGTCCTCTTTGGATTCCTTTTGTTTGGGGTTCTCTGCGCTTCCTGGACTTGTAAGTCTATTTCTTTCACCAGGTAGGGGAAGTTTTCTGTCATTATTTCTTCAAATAGGTTTTCAATATCTTGCCCTCTCTCTTCTTCTGGTACCCCTATAATTCTGATGTTGGTACGCTTGAAGTTGTCCCAGAGGCTCCTTACACTATCTTCATATTTTTGGAATCTCTTTTCTTTTTTCTTTTTCGGTTGGGTATTTTTTGTTTCTTTGTATTTCAAATCTTTGACTTGATTCTTGGGATCCTCTTGTCTGCTGTTGGATCTCTGTAAATTATTCTTTATTTCAGTCAGTGTATGCTTAATTTCTAGTTGGTCCTTTTTCATGTCCTCCAGGGTCTCACTTATTGAGTATACTTATTGAGGGACTCACTAAATTTATCGGCGGTTTCCATAAAATTCTTGAAAAACCTTATAAACGTGGCCTTGAACTCTATATCCAGTCGTTTGCTTTCCTCCATTTCTGCCATTTGTGACCTGTTTCTTTGTCTCCGCATTTTGGCTGCTTCCCTGTGTTGATAGAGTGGCTTTGTGTGCTAGGTGTCCTGTAGGGCCCAGTGTCTCAGCCTCCCCAGTTACCTGAGGTGGACACTCTTGGTGCACCCCCTTGTGGGCTTTGTGCACAGTCTTGTTGTAGTTATGCCTTGGTTGTTGTAGGATCACTGGGAGGAATTGACCTCCAGGCCAATTGGCAGTGAGAATCAGCTGTGTCTGCAGTGGGAGAACTTCTGTGCTGAAGACACCCTTCTGGGGCAAGACTTGCTTCAGTGGGGTTTTGGTGCTCACTGAGTCTGCACCCTGAGTGTGTCCCTTATGGATCTGAAGAGTTGTGATCTGGATGGTCCCCCTCTGACCACTGGGTACAGTGGCTCTTAGATCTATGGAGGTGCTAATTTAGCCTCTGCCTGAGGTTACACAGCAGGAGCTACGAAGAGAACTGCAGATTCCCCTTCCTTTTTTGGAGTTTGGAGGTGCCCTGATGAGGCTCAGCTGTGAAGCAATGCAAGCCGCTGTGGGGCCTTGGGCCTTCTCTTGGAAGTTCTGGGTCTGTCTGGCCCGGCTGCAGTTAGGTAATTATCAGGTTGCAAAGGGCCGGGGCATTCATATGCAAAAGTCTCTGCTGCAGCCTGGGTGGGGCGGGGTCTCAAGGAATCAAAGGGCGGAGCAAGCAGCTATGGTGGATCCTTAGCCCTGCCCTAAGGAGTTGCACGTCTCAGTGTCCCGGTAACAGCTGCAAGCACCTCTGAGGGAAAGCTACCTTCAAGTTCACCCGCTGCCAGACAGTCCAGTTTCTCCCCGTATGAGTCCTGGGTCCCCAGAGACTTCCCGGAACCGGAGTTCAGAGCCATCGGGAGCTTGTGACTCCCTCCCAATTCAAAAAGACAGCCCCGTCCTCAGGTGCCAGCCCCTTTCCGCGCGCGCACGAGCCCCCGTACCTCTGCACTTTACTTCCGCAACTCCTCTGGCTCTCAGTGTGCTTTTCTTTCCTTCTAGTTGTAGAATTTACACTCAGCCAGACTTCCTGTAGTTCTGGATGATGTCCGTTTTGTGTTCCTAGAAGATTTTTCAATTGTTGTGGGATGCAGCAATTTCCCGGTGTTTATCTATGCCGCCATCTTAGTTTCTCCCCCTTACCTATTTTTAATTATGTGGAAATTTTCAGAATTATAAATGCTAGTGCATGTAAACTTTGTTAGAATATGATTGTCCCAGAAATGTTAAAACTAATGATCTTTTTACACATTCATTCATTCCTTTATTCAATAACTGACCTCTCTGATCCTCAGTTTACCCAGATCTCAAATGGTTGTAAGGATTAGTAACAGTGTATATAAGGTACTTTTAGAAACTAAAAATTAAAACACCCAAAACATTTGCTATTATAATTATCTATAGTTTAATCTGAACATTGGCATTTTATTCTGCCTCCAGACCTACTCTAGGACATGCTGTTACTTGTTGTTTCACTTCTAGAAGAACTGAGAGGTTTTGAAACAGATACAATTCTCTATGCTTGTATTTTGGTTAATCCTCACCCCAGGATATTTTTCCATAAAATTTTAGAGAGAATGAAAGGGAGGGGGAGAGACAGAGGGAGAACCATCAATGTGAGAGAGACACATGGATTGGTTGTCTCCTGCACGTAGCTCAACCAGGGCGGGGAATTGAGCCTGCAACCTAGGTACATGCCCTTGACTGGAATCGAACCCGACACCCTTCAGTTGGCAGAACAATGCTCTGTCCACTGAGCCAAACCAGCTAGGGCTCTCTCAGTTATTCTTTTTTGGGGGTCAGTTTTAAAAATGTAAATACATACTTCCTGGCACATGATTGATACTCCATAAGAGTTTCATGGTGAGTGGGAGTGTAGGTTAACACAATATTTTTGAAGGGTAATTAAGAAGTATCTATCAAATCTTTAAGTTTGCATATCCTTCATTCCAGAAATTCTACTTCTAGGAATTTAGACATAGTTGTATATATGTTTAAGGATGTTTAGATTGCAGCCTGCCTGTAATGGAGGATTAAAAAAGCTGCAAACAACTAAAAGTCCACCAGTTATATAAATAATGGTACAAACTTACAATCAGTAGAATACTATGCAACCTTAAAAAAATAGATTTACACATATATTTTTGGGGAAATTATAAAAATTTGATAGTTAGATTGTAGAATAGATGTAGTATGCTGTGTTTATCTAAAATAAAGGGTATCTATATTTGAACTAATAAATATTTATATACACTAGACTAGACAATAAGTGTGAATGTAAGCGCTTGGAAAATGTGTGGAAGGACCGCGCTGGGAACTAACTGGGCAGGGGCGACTTAACTTTTCACTGCATAGGCTGCAGCATTGAACTCTGCAGGGTCTGTACATGAACTCATGGACCTGTGCTACCGGCCGCCGGCTAAGGAGGGCGCCACAGCCCCTACTAGAGTCCTGTTTACTGATCCCGCCTCTCATTCATCCTGCGCGTGACGTCATCGTCACGGGCGGCGGCGCGTGCGCGTTAGGCAGGAGCCTGGTGGGAGGCGCGTGCGCGTTAGCCAGGAGCCTGGTGGGCGGTGCGTGCGCAGTGTCCGTGTAGGAGCTTCCGGTGGAGGACCTTGTTTTGGCTCCACGAAGTTGGGCTGGCGACGTGGGCGCTCTTGGCTTCGGGCGGGCGGTCTCTCGGGGTCCACATGAGCCAATGGCATCGTGCCCACAGCCGCTGGGGCCGGGGACGCGCCTCTTCTGGACGTTCGTCGGCCAAGAAGAAGGGCGGGAACCACATCCCCGAAAGGTAAGGTGGCTTGGCCCCTGGGCGTGGCCCTTCCAGCCCCCAGACCCCGGCCTGGGCTTCGTCTCTCCGGTCTCTGCCATCAGTCTGGCCGCGCGCTCGGCCGGTCCGCCCTTTGCCGAAGGCCCTGATCCTGTAGCTGCCCCGCCCACAGGAGCTGCATGGGACCATCTGCGTTTCTGACTTTTCCATCCTTGAGAAAGCCAGGTCCTGCCAAGAGAGGGGTGGTGGTGAGGTTATCTGTAATACGCTCAATAAAAATAAATTAAAAATAAAAAGGCAAAAATATAAAAAAGCGAGGCCTGGCCATTGCCCTTCGGGGAAAATGCAGAGGGACTGCTTTTAAAGATGGGACTGTCGCCGAAACCGGTTTGGCTCGGTGGATAGAGCGTCGGCCTGCGGACTGAAGGGTCCCAGGTTCGATTCCGGTCAAGGGCATGTACCTGGGTTGCGGGCACATCCCCAAGTGGGAGATGTGCAGGAGGCAGCTGATCGATGTTTCTCTCTCATCGATGTTTCTAACTATCTCTCTCCCTTCCTCTCAGTAAAAAAATCAATTAAAAAAAAAAAAAAAACCTTTCCTTTAAGAAAAAAAAAAAAAAGATGGGACTGTCAGTTTTGGGGACACCCATTTATTACCAAAATAGAGTCCCCCTTAATTCCCGAAGTTGTGGCATTTTAAAATGTATTGACTACGAAAATTGGGGAAGAAACCCACCAGTACCGCTGAACTTTTCATGGAAAAAGTTGGTTTGTATTGTTTTAACCGAAAAAGGCCACACCGTTGCTTCCTAACGGCTCATTTGAGTGATCTTTTTCTCTAAGTTCAAATTATTAATGTGGATCCTTTGCTTATTGCTTATTTCCTTTTAAAAAATATTTTTATTGATTTCAGAGAGGAAGGGAAAGGAAGAGAGGAATAGAAACATCAATGATGAGAATCACTGATCTGCTGCTTCCTGCTCGCCCCCAACCGTGACCTGGTTCATAGGCTGAGGGCCAGTGAACCCTTCTTTATTCCTCCAGACCTTCCTTCCTCCACCTCGTGCCTCTTTACGGCCTCTTGGTTTTGTCTCCCGGAAGCTTTTTGACTTCCAGCTTCTCCTCCAGCATCTTACACAGATTGCAACTTGCCAGACGGATTGCAGTTAGGTCCTTCCTAGTGCATGTATATCCATCTCTTGTTTCCTTCCAGTCAGTCCATTCTTCCCATAACAGATCTTTTTAGTGGGCAAATTGGACCATAGCTCATAAATATCCCTCAAAACATCAGTCACTGAGCCTCTCAGCTGGTGTGCCTCATGGTTGAGCGTCTGCCTATGAACCTGGAGGTCAGGCCATGTGCCGGGGTGTGGGCTCGATCCCAGGTGTGGGATATGGGAGCAACCGATTGGTATTCTCTCTAATCATTGATGTTTTTCCCTCCCTCTCTAAAATCAATAAAAAATATATATATATTTTGCCAAAACCGGTTTGGCTCAGTGGATAGAGCGTCCGCCTGCGGACTGAAAGGTCCCAGGTTCGATTCCGGTCAAGGGCATGTACCTGGGTTGCGGGCACATCTCCAGTGGGGGATGTGCAGGAGGCAGCTGATCGATGTTTCTCTCTTATCGATGTTTCTGACTCTATCTCTCTCCCTTCCTCTCTGTAAAAAATCAATAAAATATATTTAAAATTATATATATATATATATATATATATATATATATATTTTAAAAAGAGTAAAAAACTCTTTATCTCGGCCTTTAAGACTCTGTACGCTGTACTATCTAGAACCCAACCTGATTCTCCAGCCTCAACTTGTACAACTTCTGCCCTCACTTCCAATGCTTCAGACACACCAAATCAACCTTAGTTCATTCTAACTCATCCGACAGAAGTCAGCTCAAATGTTACTTCTCACTGTGACTCCTAGCCTCATTAAGCACAGCTCAGTGTCACCGTTCTATGGGGTTTTCTTTTTACCGTATGAACTGGAAGTTCCCTGCCGATCCAATAATGATGGCATCAGTTGTGTGAGGACTAAAAATGAACTGTGAAGTGAAAGAATTGAGTTTAAACTATTTCAGTTAACATCTGTGTATTTATGCCACCTTAGTATTCAGGACCAGGCTAGGTTTGATCGGGGATATAGAAGTCCTGGCCATCTCTGGTGTTAGGCATTCCTATTTGTTGAGACCTTTGCACTGTTTGTTGCCTTGTACGTGTTTTCAAGATGGGGAAACAGGAAGAGGGGAAGTACAGGTAACTTGGTGCGGGTGACTAAGTGGAGCAGCAGAGCAAAGAGAAGAGGGGACTGAGGAGTCCTCAGTGTGTGCTGGGAGAAAGGCTGAGAGAATTTGGCTAACACAAATGTATTAACAGGTGGCAAGACTATCTCCCTGTTGGACGGAGGATGCCTGGGACTCCAACGTTGCTTTCAAACTTCCTTTAAAAAAGGTAAGCAAAAATTAATTCAATATTCCTTTATAAATTTGAATTCACCATGTAGAACAGTGATTCTCTATCCCATCACACTCCATTTTCTCTTTTTATATCACATACTTTGTATTTTGCCTTTTACTGTCCTGAAATGAAATTCATAGGTAAATACAACCTACTTCCATACTTAGTTTTAAAGAAAAAAAAATCATTGTAATGCTCTATTATACAAGGAAAAAATAAAAGAATTTATAATTAAGTAGTGTATATTGTATACATTAATGCTATTGACTTCTTACAGTGGAAGATGAGGATTTAGCTTTTTCACACCCACGACACACATACTTCTGTTACCTCATCCTTTTAGTATAGTTGTTCCCCAACTTTTCGTTAAATCAGAAATTCTAAGTTCAAGTTATGTATGAGATAAATACACAGCTCTGAGCCATAGTGTACATGATTATGTTTCCTTTCTTATACTACTTTTGTCCCCCTCATTCTGGTCTCATTTGTCTGTCTCTTTCCCTATGGACTTAATCACCAATTCTTCCTCCACATCTCTAACACCATTGAACATTTCTGTTAATGTGGCTAGGATGCACACATTTGATTCTATTTTTGTGTGGAATCTTTCCTGGAGCCCTCTTGCCTCCATGGTCACATCACCTTCCCCTCTTGTGTCTGCATCAGATCTCCTTTTGCCTCCATTTGATGTGGGCGCATAAATTGCATTTATGGCCCAGCTCACCCACCTGAAGACCCTTCATTCACAGAGACACTTTTTCTAAGTAAAACAGTAATACTTACAGGTGTCAGGGATGAGCACCTGCTGTCTTTGGCTGGCCATGTCCCAGCCTACTACAGGCATAAATACTCATTAAATGTTGGCACTTAACAAATGGGACTATTTTATTTTGTTTTTATTTTTGCATAGAGGTGAGACACCATGGGCTCTGTGAATCTACAAAGATTGGGAAACTCCAAGTTCGGAGGTTGTCCCAGTAATCCAGGCAGGAAATGATGGAGACTTGGACTATAGTGGAAGTGGAGGAAAATGGTCAGAAGTGGACAAGTCCTTGATACAATGTGAAGGTAAGGCAGATGGAATTTGCTGATGATCTGGATGAATTGATGGAGAGTGTAAGAAAGGAGTCATATGATTTCAAAGATTTCCGGACTGAGCAACTTGGGAAATGGCATTACCATGAATTGAGATGAAGAAAACTGCATGGATCAGTTGTTTGTTTTGTTTGTGTATATGTTTGGCTGGGGAGGAGGGCAGATGGGAGATGCAGTTTTGTACATGTCTAAAAAAGAAGATAAAAGAAGAAGAGAGGGAATGAAAAGGTACACATTCCTGACCAGTGGCTGCCTACAGACTCTCCCCCTGCCCACAGGTTCATTCCCCTCTCATGGTGGCCAAATGTCCCTCTACCCATGAGCTTTTCAGGTAGCTGTGTTTTGCCTTCTTATTCAAACCATGATCCGAGCAAATACAAGCATGAGGTGCCACCTTAGACAGAAGAGACTCAGAAAGCCTTGTCTGACCCAGAGTTCTACGAGGGTAGGGCAGATGGGCTCTGCAGCTCTGCTTTGGGGGACTGATAATTTCAGGGCTGTCAGATTTAAAATAATCATGTCAAAGGATGAGCAGATTTTAAGGAAGATAGAGGCAGTGGCATTGCTTTTTAATTTCCCCAAACCCTCTGATGGCATTAGATAAATCCAAACTAAACGCCCATGGGTAGCATTTACCAGGAAAGTAGAAGCCCCAAAGTAAGAGGGTGGAGCAGACAACCACCAGCGGGCACAGACCTGCCTGGTCTCAGCATCGCACCAGAGGGAGTGTCCGACAGGAGGAAGCATCTGATGGGCGTGAGCACAGGAGGCCTTCACAGTGCCAGCAGTCATCACCTGAGAGCACTGCGGGCCAAGCTGAGAACAGCAGCTGAGACTGGGAGGGGCTTTTTCCAGTCCCAACGTCAGTAAATACTTTGGGGAGATTCAAAAACTGGCCTGCTCCCTCCATCTTTATGAAGTCCTGCTCTGACATTTGACATCATTATATTAATTTTAGATGGTAGTGATGGTTGCACAATATAATGAATGTACTTACTGTGACTGAATTGTATGGTTAAAATGGTAAATTGTGTGTTAGTGTTATACATATTTTACTGTTGTAAGGAAAGATGAAAGAACTACATAAATCAGCACTAGGTAAAATGATAGAACTCAACAGAATCAACAATAAAAAATTTTCGGGCCCTGACCGGTTTGGCTCAGTGGATAGACCAGCGGTGGGCACACTTTTTGACTCGAGGGCCACAATGGGTTCTTAAACTGGACCGGAGGGCCGGAACAAAAGCATGGATGGAGTGTTTGTGTGAACTGATATAAATTCAAAGTAAACATCATTACATAAAAGGGGGTTTTTTTTTTAGTTTTATTCATTTCAAACGGGCCAGATCCGGCCCGCGGGCCGTAGTTTGCTCAAGGGTCCCAGGTTCGATTCCGGTCAAGGGCATGTACCTTGGTTGCAGGCACACCCCCAGTGGGGAGTGTGCAGGAGGCAGCTGATCGATGTTTCTCTCTCATCGATGTTTCTATCTCTCTATCCCTCTCCCTTCCTCTCTGTAAAAAATCAATAAAATATATTTTTTTTAAAAAAAATTTTTTTCAGAAATAAAAATAAGAGTGTATGATCAAAATGGATAATGCCTTAAAGGAAACATGAGAAAAGAGTAACATTTTTAAAAATCAAAAAGAAGCCGAAACCGGTTTGGCTCAGTGGATAGAGCGTCAGCCTGCAGACTGAAGGGTCCCAGGTTCGATTCTGGTCAAGGGCATGTACCTCGGTTGCGGGCACATACCTAGTAGGGAGTGTGCAGGAGACAGCTGATCGATGTTTCTCTCTCATCGATATTTCTAACTCTATCTCTCTCCCTTCCTCTCTGTAAAAAATCAATAAAATATATTTAAAAAAAATAAAAAATCAAAATCAAAAAGAAGATAAAAGGAACTAGAGAAACGACTAATATAAAAATAAGCCTCAGTAAAGCAGGACAGTACTGAAGAGTAATACAAAGACATATGAAGATTTATTATACCATAAAAGTGACATTTCAGATTAGTGGGACAGACTCATCAATAAATTATTCATATATGTTGGAGTGTAAATAATTCCTTTAGAAGGATTCACAGCATGGCAAAGTAATGTCTTTAAGGGGGGAGAGAAATTAGTGGATGGGGAACTTCAGGAAAAGGGTGGATTTTCTGAGTACCCTTTGTACCTTTCTAAAGTAATACGATATGAATCTACCTCTGAAGTGTGACTGCTTGAGTCCAACCACAGCTCTCCCAATTGCTAGCTCTTCATCTTGGGCAAATACTTGATACTCTTCAAACCTATCTTTTTTTTTGTGAAATGGGGTGAATAAGTTAGCCTGGTGCTGCCTGGCACAGAATAAACTCTCAATAAATGTAAGATGCTAGTGGAAACAACTCAGATGTCCATCAAGTGTTGAATGGATAAACAAATGTGGTAGAGCCATTCCATAGAATGTTATATAGTCATGAAAAGGAATGAAGTGCTGACTCATGCTACAACAAGATGGACTTCGACAACGTGCTAAATGAAAGAAGCCAGACACAAAGGTCATATATTGTGTTACTTGACATACGTGAAATCTCAAGAAAAGACATCTATCCAGGTAGAAAGCAGATTAGTGGTTGCCAGGGCCTGGAGGGAGGAGGAAACAAGGAGTGACTGCTAATGGATAGGAGGGTTTCTTTTTGGGCTGATGAATGTGTTTTGGGTTCGATAATAGTGATGGTTGCACAAGCTTGTGAATGTACTAAAAGTCACTGAATTTACAGTTTAAAACTGAATTTTATATAAAGTATGTAAATTATATCTCAAAATTAATTTTTAATGCAAATTAACAAATTACCCATGGTAATGATCACCGTCTCCTTGCCCTTCTTCATTCTCTTTCCTGGCCCCTGCCCTCCCAAACCCTCAGTTCCTCCGGCTGCGAACCCTTTGAACTGACTCCTGCATCCTACGGCTGTTCCAGTGGCAAACCAGTGCACAGGCGCACCTGTTACTCTCGCTTCCTGGAAATTCACTCTTCCAATGGATTATTCTCCTTCGCTTCACTTGATGGAGGTGTTTAGACAAGGCAGCACGCGTGGCCCCGGTCATGGAGAAGGCCCTGGCTAGCCCCTCAAGTAAATACTTAGGCTTCTCCTCAAGTTTGATCTCTTCCACTACTAACTTCCAGATGCTGTGCTCTGAAAGCATGGTTGGGTACCTAGAGACACTTGCAAATACTAAGGACTTTGGAGAAAAGCCTCCAATCTAGACTTTGCTCTACCACATGCAATGTGACCTCAGCCCATTGCTGAACCTCACGACTAAAGTAGCACAGTGATACTGGCCTTGAATGTTGTCCATTAGTGGGTGTGGCACATAGGTGTTGAGTAAGTGGGGATTTATATCTCACAGCGTTCTGGGTGGGCCTCCTCCTGCCGTAGTTTACTTGGCTAGTTATAAGCTGCCTCCAGGATAACTCTCAGCCCTTGCCACTCAATCTGGTAGGTTCCACTGATTTGTACTTACCTCTCAACTACAATCATACATGGTAAGGCAACCCAGACCTTTGGGAAATGTACCAACAATGTGTTTTCTAAAATACTTATCTGGTGGGCATGAGACCTAAGACCGGCCTCCACGAGAGACTTTTTCTATTTCTCCTGATCAGTCTAGACTCATCCACCATTTTCAACTCTGTTCAGATTTTATCTTTTTAACCCTAACCCCAGACCCTGCATCTCACTTCTACCATCCCCCACCTGCTGCTCCTTTTTATAAATTCATCTCTCCCCTTTTAGCCTTTGTGGCCATAGACAAAGTTCTTTCTATTTCCTCAGTTCTTACCCCTTGTCCCTCATTTGCCCATCCAACTAGCAATTCTTTTGTTCTCATGCAGCTTTTGATCCACACCCCCACCAAAGAAAACCACAGTTAACAGCATCTCAAAACTCAAAAGGCTTCTTTATTACTTATCTATGAATTCCACTACATTTATTTATTCAATTTTGTTAAGATTTAAAATATACCAGAATAGAGAAATTTATATCTATCTACCTATGGGAAAACAGTAGGTATCCAACGAGGCACCAACACTCCTAGCACCTCTTATTTTGCATAGCCATAGTATCGAGAAATTTCCATTTCTTTCTCTCTCTCAATGAAATATTGCACTTTGCCCAGCGAGGTGAATTTGGCAGCATTCTCCCGCTCAAGTTGAGCTTTCCTCTTCATAGCCTCCCTCTCTGGCCTCTGCTCCTTTGTGATGGGCGTTGACATTACTGGCCCAGAAATATCAGGTTTCCTCCATGGAATTCGCTGATAGGCAAAATCGTGGAGAAGCCATTGGTTTTGAGGTTTGGGTGGGGTCCAGGGCTTGTTCACCGTAGTGCGAACCGGCTCCCGCTGGAAAGAAGTGCAAGTTGATGTTTTGCAGGGCACAGGTCTAGAAGCATCACACTGAGGGACACTAGGCTGGGTAGGGTTGGTCCAACCTGGTCGGACTGAATTGGTTGAAATAGGTTTAGCAGGACCTGGCAAAGATGCAGGAGTTGGCTGGGATGAATTCACTGCAGTAAGTTGAGCTGAATTAGGACCAGGCTCAACAGGGTTGGTCAAATCTGGTTGGACTGGGTTCATCAAAACTGGCTGAGCTGGTCTGGCCGGACCTCTCATAGATGCTGGGGTTGGCTGGGATGAATTGACTGCAGCATGTTGAGCTGAGTTAGAGCCAGGCTGATCAGAATTGTTTGAAATTGGCAGAGCTGGTCTGGCAGGACCCATCATAGATGCAGACATTGGCTGGGATGAATTGACTGCAGTAGGTTGAGCTGACTTAGAACCAGGCTGGGCACGGTTAGCCCCAGCAGGCCGGCGTGATGCCAGGGACAGTGGCCTGCGAGGAACAGGTCGAGCTTGGGGCTTGTCCAAAGTTGGAAAAATCAAAGGTACCAACTTGACCTTCCCAGGAGGTGGCAGCTCGTATTCAGATGGAGATGAACACTCCTTGTCAGCACTGCCATCTGGTTTCTGACGTTTGACTGGAGCTTTCTCAGGACCTTTGCCCTCACGAGGCTTATCCAGCCATTGTCTGGTAGCTAGGGATGGCTGCGGGCCTTTGGGGTTGCTTGAGTGTCCCAGGGCCCGGGAGGAAGAGAGTTCAGTTTTCTTATCACTCTTCTTCCCCAGGGCATGAAAAACCTGCACAGACTCCAGCATATGCATACCCAGGGAGCTTCGGGGCTTTTTGAAGGTCTCTTGGGTCAGCTCAGGGTGGTATTTCTTCCGTTTCATCTTCGGAATGTTTGGCTTCTCCTCTGCCTTGACTTTGTTCCCTGACTGCTTACGCTCTTCAGTTTTCTTGGGGTTGTTTTCTCTGGTTCTTTTGGCCCTTTCTTGCCCATGGCTCTTGGTTTTGCTGGTCCTGCTGGGGGCAGCTTTCTGAGGTTTGTTAGAATTCTTGGCCCTGTTTTCAGGAGCCCTGTCACTGGCTGCAGCATTTGAAACAGCCAATTCTCCCACGAACATGCCATCTGGGCTCTCAGGCTGGATTTTGACTATGGGATCACCATTGATGAGCTCAGGGGCTTCATGTTTATTCTTCCCGGCTTGATCAGAGGGAGCATTAATGACACTTGTTTTCTGCACCTTGTTCAAATTGATGGCTCTGGTATCTTTGGTTTGGATCACCTTGGGACCTTGGGATTGATCAAGTTCATCCAAGGAATTTAGGACCACTGGAAGGTGAATATCCTCCACCAGTGTAGCGATGTCTGCAAAGCCATCATTGGATTCAGTCCCATTTTCAAGTGTCCCTTGGTCCTTAAGGGTCAGGCTGTTCTTTCCCAGACCAGCGTTTTCACAACCAGGCTGCTCCTCCTGGCCAAGGGGATCAAAGCAGGCCAGGAGCTGGGGAATGGCGGGGATTTCTAAAGGGAGCAGTGGAGGATCTTGGTTTTCTGTTGGGATCTGGTAAGCATCCAGAGGCTTTGAAAGCATGGTTTCCATATCCTCCAAATTCCTATTCTCTTTCTGTTCCTGGCTTGGAGCTGGAGGCAGTGCCAGGTAAATACTAGGACTCTGGACTGGAGCTGCCATTGAAATGTCCCCAAGCTCAGGTGGTGGGTTGCTGTCAAGCATCTGGATATTGCTGCCACCACAAGACTTGGGGATTTCTG